ATTGTCCAAGATTAACCTTCAGGGTGGATATAGCTCGCTAGCAGCCTCGCACCAAGGACCTATCCATGTCATCATTTACCCAGAATGCTTTGTGTGTAAATAAAATCCGTCCGTGTTAAAACATAGGCCTATTTTTAAAAAATTACAAACTAAACAGCCTACAGTATTTTTACAGTCTTTATTTTACAGTTAAAGTATATATTTATCAAATAAAGTCTAATGTTAAAAATAATCATGGATCCCTTTAATTAAACGAATTAATTGTTTAAAATAATGTAACTGATGCTACTGAAAGTTTTATTCCCCAAACTTTAGGTTAATATGAGGTCATCATAGCAATAAAAACAAATCCTAATAAATGTTCAGTATGTCAGCTGAGAGTTGTTAATCTACAAAGCTGCAATGATAACCTTGRCGGTTTAAAGAATACATTTGATTTTATTGGTGAAATAATGGAATCTGCTGCCACACCCTGCAGATGCTGAGTTAATGAGCCCGAGGTCTTTATTGCTGTGATATGTTCAGCTCACACTTGGATCCAGAGGCAGAACCAAATCATCCAGCATTCATTCCTTTTCTCCCTCTCCCTGCTTAACAAAACATTAACTCACAGTAAAAACATTCATATAATGTGTCTGCAGATTCCATCATATATACAGAATATATATTTAAAATGTAAATATTAGGTTAAAGGAAATAGCTTTGGGTGTAGAGTGACGTAAAGCACAAAAATCCACAATCACACCCATGTTTGTACCAAAACAAAATTACTGGCTACTTTTAAAGGAATCTGGTGTTTAATGAAGGCACAGAGCTGTGAAAGTTCCTGTATTTTCCACTGATAGGTGCAGATTTTTATTTCAGGGGTTTTAACAGCTGTGTGGATGAAGGAAAGCCTCCCCCTGAAATCTCTTAAGAGATGCCTTGTTGCAGGAAGTATACAGAAGTGACAGCTGAGCCAGATGCCATTAGAAGTGAGTTCTGCTACAGAACTGAGGACACGGTTGCACACACTTTTTTTTACACCGGTAGAAGTGCATTTGACCACTTTTCTGTTTTTAATATCACCCCAATGACAAGTCAATTAAACAATTTCCCTAAAGCCAGTGTTTACTGTGTGTTTAATGTGTTTACTTTCTGTTCACTCTTGGGTTTTTCCACTAAAGTGGTTTTGGTGTTAATCCAGAGCTGTTTTTTWAACCAGTTTTATAAAAGCATCTGAAAACCAGCTTGTTTTTCCACAACCAGAGAATCAAGATAAAAATCAATTTAAAAATATATTAAGCATAAATTTTAGTACATATTTGATGTGTTTTGCATTTCTCTTGTGGTCTTTAGTGCAGGGAGACCAGTTGGATTTGTTTTGTTACTTCAGAAAACAAATGTTCTAATATGTGATTTATCATTCTTTTAAATTTGAAAATGCTMTTTTTATTTTAGTTTCTTAATGGGGAACAGTAACGATAAACACTTCACATAAGGCTTAAATACACAATTTTTGAGTAATTTTGTTTTGTTTCAAATAAGATTACTAATCACTGTGTCTATGATTTTTAAATACCACACTAATAACATTTTAATTGGCCATCAGTCTTGTTAAACCTACCACAATGAAAGTGGCCTTTTTGCTCTGACACGATAAACAGTTTTTTTATTATCCCTGTAGAACAAACAGAGATATGTCTAATGAGGCAGACATGTTTGCACGAGGATCGCTCTGACATAGATCGACAGTCTTTCTTAGATAAATCATTGTGACGATCAGGTGCCACAAGGCAGCAAACTACATCTGCAGTGATGGAGCGTGGAGCAATCATCTCCAAGGAGGTCCTCTGGTTAGTTTATTGTTATCAACTGACCAATAAAACTGTCAAATGCAGTACTTTACTCTGTTTAAATTTAGTTAAAGCCAATGCCAYGTTCAGTTTTTATTATTGTCATTAAAGCTTACACAGCTTTTGTAATTATCAGCACATAAAGTCTTTGTAACCACAGAAACAATTGAGATTTAAATGTGACTTTTTTTAGACGTTTGTGTTCCTGAGATCTGAAAAAAMAAAAACCTTCAGAACTTYATTGGRTTTTCCATTGRATGRATTAAAAACAAATTGTTGCTCCTGTTCGTTTCAAAAGGCTTTTGTCAAACACTGGGAGAAAATCTAGAAAAAAGAGATTTTGTTCCCTGTTTTATTGCTCAGCTGTGTAACATTCAGCAGATGTGTTCTGTCCATTGTCATGGCAAAAAAAAGATGAGGCAGGCAGATCCAGTGTTTTGATTTTTATCAACTTAGTACAAAAAAATGTGAAGCAGAAGCTCTCAGGGATGAGACTGATCCAAGCGGCAGAATCTGTCTAAGCTCAGATTGTCAGAGAGCACTCATTTGAACAAAGCTTATCAGGATGACATAACACCAGTTTCATCATAACTGGATAACTGGGAGGCTGCATCACTTAGAGGGCAGCATGACCTAACGTCAGACTGGGAAGACATGGACTACACATGGCCATTCTGTTCCACTGCATAAGAACATCTCCAAACACATTAATCCTATTTTCCCCAAAATATCCATGTTACGACCCGGCTCAGCCAGGGGAAAAGGAGGTAACATTAATGGGGGCTCGTCCGGGATTTGAATCCGGGACCTCTTGCAATTAATTATATTAATGCCACCAAAGTAGCTCTTACTTAAACATTGAACAATTATTTTCCTGTTGCAAATCAGGAAGTTGTATGTGGGCTTTAGTGTGTTTTTTCRTTAGGTCTCTAGCTTAGTAGAAGGCTCAGTGGATGTAGAGCAGCAACAATTGAGGGATTTTCCTTCTTTGTTCTGGTTCTATATTACAGACTGCAGCTACCACCCTGCCTCCATTTCTTGACGGTCTGTTTGAACAGAAAGGATTATGCATATAGTGGACAATGTGGTCAAACATTAATTTGCTTTTCTCAGGTGCAACATCCGGGGATTGCAGTCCAATCCAGAGGCTGCTGGTTCAAGCCCCAGTTGGGTCTACAATGGCATCCAGTGTAAAACAATTGCTGAATCTTTTAGGATTGCTTGCTGCGAAGATCCCCTCAGAATGAAACAGCCTAAAGAAAAATTATGCAACATTTAGGAGAACCAGAAGAGGGCTAAAATGTGTTAGCATGAAAATAAACCTTTTTTGTGTGTCTTATTAATACATATTTTGGAGTATGAGGTTTTGTGAATGGTATGAAGAGTTACAGAAAATGAATGTATAGTTATTCACGCAAAAATTTGCAGAACTTTAGGGTGATGTTTAAGTTTCCATTAAGAAGCAGGTTTTGAATCCGTGTAATTTGACTAGTTTTTTCAGATTTTTCCAGTACGCTTGTAAAACTAAGCTGCAAAATTTTCATAATGCCGACCATGCTTGTTGGACTACAGGTACAATACAAACGCCTTTTTTACAGCACTGCCAACTTAGCCAGTAAACTCGGCTCTAAACACTTAGTACTTATTGTGTACAAACGAGTTCTGACARACCAGAAACCAGATGAAATGAGTCCTTTAGAAGTGCCTCTTATGGGCAGCATTTACACAATATGTAGAATCTGACTGACTTAAATGTTTTAATTAATTCCTAATCTAAAACCTTTCAAATCCATCTGTTGTTAAAGTCAAGCAAACATCCAAATCATGCATTGTCTTTGGTTTAATTGTATTAATTTATTGTGATTGAAAACAAATGGTGTCTGTCGAGGTTGGATTGTAGCTTTGACCTTTGGGTTGTTATTGATGTAACCGTCTCTGGTTTTCACAGCAGTCCTACTTCTCTACATGAGGTCTATAAACATCCTAACAGGATGACCTCTGAACCCATCATTACCTCTTTACACTCCACCTCTCCCACAGCTTCACAAGCAGTGCAGATTCKTCACTTTAAAAAGCCATTCAAATACAAACCTTCATTTATGGTATATTTGGAAAGTTCACAACCCCCGAGGCTCACATCTAAAAAAAATCCCCAGTGTGTTTTCTTTCATTCCTTCTTTTTGTGTAATGTTTGAACCAGCCAAGATGTCAGCCATTAGCCATGCGTCTTGCAGACATTGCACAAACACGACGGCACTAAACTCTTAATCAGACCAAACTCCATATGTTATTCGCTGCTGGCCCTGACTTCACTGCTCTCCCGAAACATTTTTTCCCACCAGATTCCACTGCGTGACGGCTGTGGTCTGGGTAAACTCCACCCCACGCCCCCCATCTCTTGGGACTCTTGATGGAGGAATGTGGCAGACTTTGGAAGAAGCTCTACGCCCTTCTCCCTCCCAGCCTTTCGTCTCTCCTTACCAACTTCCAGTCACGCACAGCTAAGCCAAAAATATTTATCGAGGTGAAATTTGGGCTTCAGTCTTCACACCTAACCTACAACGACGTAACATAAAGCCAAATTCCAGAAGCCAGATTAAACCAGCTGCTTTCTCTCCATTATTACAGAAAACTTTCCATAAGGATGTCTCGGGGTTTATTTTTTTAAAACATAAATAAGTTTCTGCATACTTTATCATATCGTCTTGTGGATGTTTTCTAACAAATACCTATCAAGATTTTTTTTCTTTCTTATTCAAATTTGCTTTGCATAAGATGTTCAAATTCTAAAGGCTGCTACTATGACTCAGAATTGTGGGGAAATAGGACAATTTCTTTGATGCATTCCGAATGTTTGTGATCAAATGACCAGCAAAAACATGTGGCTGCATTTTCAATGGCCAGCTTTTGAAAATCAGCCTATTTTTGCATGCCCACTTTGCAAAATTGTATTTCAAATCATGCAAGTTGTTTTATTTATTTATTAATTTATTTATTTATTTATTTATTTATTGCTGTCCATATTGTACCCACTTTGGCTTGCTTTTATCCACCTTACTATTTTAAATGTACAATTTTATCTGCTAGAGTATACTTTAGAAATTAAAATAAGCAAAATTGTATATTTTTCATGATTACGTGGGTTTTGGACCTACTCATCTTTTCTGTCAAAGAGTTCTTGTGCAGGTGTCGAAGCGCAGCTCTGGTGCTTTTGAGGTGAGGTTGAAATGTCTGTGGTTACCCTGTCTGCTTTAAGAGCCAATCTAGCACAAATCTTTCAACATTTTCGAAACTCAAGAGGCAAAGCCGCGAAGTTTTGCATGTCGCGAAACTCCGTGAATGCTACAAAACTTTCTGCAGACTGATGTGAGGGCTTTTCACTAACTAATTGCAGCCCTTCAGGCCCTTCAAACATTCACCTCTGGCATTTACATGCATCCTGAACAACCACTATAAAGCTTAGTTTCATGCTCTATATGCAATTAAACACATCATCTGGTTTTAACTGTGTGACAAACAGGAGATCCACAGGCCTACTGTTGTTTCTGTAAAAACAAAAAGAACTAACTGTACAATTTTTCATATTACAGCCATGACTTAAGATGAGTACATTAGCGTAAAATAACAGATTTAGGATCTTACAGAGCTTATCGTGTCAGCACAGCTCTGCTGATAGACACAGAGACACTGGAGCGTCTAACCCCTTAGATTAAAAGAGCTCAGGGGTGAGCCATCAGCTGTTATCTACATAACAAGACCACTCTATATAAGTGTGTGACATGCTGCACTAGAAAGCTAAGATGTTTCTGATTTAATTGGAGCACAGCAAAGCATTTTACACAGCATGTCTAATCAAGAGTTACATTGTTGCAATTTTTTGAGGAAAGATTGGGAAGACCCTGTTGTGTTAATGTTTTGTGCAGTAAAAAATGATTGTTAGTATTTTTCTGTAGATTGCTGTTCCACAATGTATTTGGAGGTGATCTGTTAATGTGGCGTATAAAGCAATGTCTTTATAGCTGCTGGATTAATACAGATACACGTCTGAGAACACCTCTGAATGTAGCCGTAGACATTGGCTCTGAGTTTGTCCTGTGTTCACATCCTTATTTAATGCTGTCTGTTAGCGGTTGGCTCGCTCAGGATAAATGTTAGCCCCAGGTGTGAACAGCTTCGACAGCATTATGTCCCTGGGCCTCCCCCTGCTTCTGTTTAGGGGACAACCTGTTGTGTGTAATTGGACACAGTGAGGCGATAATGGTCCGCACACATTACCGGACCACCATGTAGAAAACTTGGTGGCTGAAATTCCACTTGAATCTTTTTGGCYATGGTTGTTCATGGTGTTAAAAACGTATTTAATCTTAAATTACTTCAACACAGTCTGTCCAGCCAAAGCAGCCCCCATAA